ATAATAATAATAATAATATTTATTGGCAAAGATACATTGTTCAATGATACAAATTGTACGAGTCAATTTCCAAATAAATATAGAATTCCCACAGAAGGATATACCTGTGCGTGGGGTCTGCAGAAATTTGAATACTAATGAATACAATTTAAAATTTGAATACTAATGAATACAATTTAAAATTTGAAATATAAAGTGGTATGAGTAAATAAATAAAAGGTAAGACGTTTTAAAATTATCAGACATATTATTTTAATTATATCATCAATCTTCTTGTATGAATATGTGAATCAGTTTCTATGCATGTCACTATGATAGTAAACATTTTTCATATCAACGTGTTGGTGTATCTGAAGCCTTGGCAAGCCTAAGACCCAGGTTTTGAGTTTATTCTTAAACGAATTGTCACTGGTGATATTTTTTATATGATGTGGGACGAGATTATATAATCGAGGAGCTAGGTTGTGGTCTGCGAGAGGCGAAGTTCTTGTGAACAACGTGAAATCGACTGTCTCGGATTTTCCTGCACACTCTCGCAGACAGCGGCGATGTTTTTCCAGATCTTGCGTTTCGTCAATGTAATTTGAAGACGTTTTGAAAACGCGTTTTGGAAAACATTTATTACCAAAAGTATCATGGTTAACTTGACCCTGAATTTGAGAGTATAAAAATTACTTACTTATGGAAGGATCTCTTTGAGCATCGACATTGCACTTAGACCATTGTGCAAGAGTATGAATAGCCACAAAATTGGCCCCATATTCACAATTAGGATTGGTAAGGACTCCTCGAAGTTTCGGTATCAAATCAGGTGAACGACCTGAATAAGGCCCCAGGAACACTCTTTTCTGATCGTAGTCGTTAGCATGTAAATTATCCCAAATAACAGGAGGTCTGCGTAGAACCTCAGTTATTTCCTGAATATTTTCTCTTGTTAGTGTCCTAGATATTACTTTCTGTCCTGAAAACGGTAAATATTTGTTTTAATGGTTCACACTAGTTGTTGTTTATGAAACTTGAAGCTCCAGTCTACTTCCTGAGACACAATCATTCATGAGTCAAAATATCGGCAGTTTTAGGAACCCCCTTTAGGTAATACAAAAACATAATATAATACCTTTCTTTAACAATTGTATGCTGCTGGCCTTTACACAATTGAATTTTTTTTTTCATACAAAATGTTTAATTTCATCAAATTGTATATTTTTGACACAATTAAATCCTAATTGTTTATCAGTCTAAATGAAACCTCTACAAGGGACTTTTACGATGGCTCTGTTGGTGTGCCTTGCAGAATTGAACCAGAAATGAATGTGATGTGTCTAATTTATTTCCTAGTATTCTGCCTAGTTCGGCAGAGCCGTACTCTTACCATATGACCTGAAAGACCACTCACCAAACAAAGCAATCGGCTTTGTAAAGAAGCTAGGTTTATTTGGTCGAGTGTGAATGAGTATGAGCCACAATAAACCCTTGCGGGTTGCAGTGGAGTATCGAATAGACCCACTCACTTTAGACCTAACCTAACCTAACCTGTTTTACTGGCAGCTGGCTAAGTTTATCGAATTTCTTAAGGCCATCCACCCTTCGATTAAATTCACGACTGAGATGGAGGTGAATAACTTAGAGTTGACTATCACTAGAATTGATAATGAACATGACTGTGTAATTTTTCACAAACCATCTTGCACGGACATCATTATATACAAGTCATATCGACATAAAGTAGCACTAGTAGTATGATTCACAGTAATATTCACCTTTAGAGAGCAATTTTTAAAGACAACACTGATTTTCATAAAACACGTTGTTGTCAACAACGGTTACGAGGTGGATATTATTGACCCAATTTTTAAAAAACTGCGGAAACAAGCTCTGATCCAGGTCAGTCCAGTTTCTAAGAATGATACTGAAAATTATGTAACTCTAATTCATTTTGGTGATTCTACCAATAACATCGCTCGTTTTAAAAAGTCAAAGAATTGGCCGTAGCCTACAGAATGAATAATAATTTGAGTAAAATCACTAAAAACAATAAAGATGAAACTCCAGTGTAGGTTAGAACGGGAGTATACAAGTTGACTAGTGATTCTTGTCCAAAATATCAGACAAACCAGAAGAACTGTTTGCAAAAGAATAAGTAGTAATCNAACAGATCTTAGCAGTAGATAAAATGGTAGCTTGGGTAAAAATTGTATTCATCTTTCTCCAGTCTTGAGTTGTTCCTAGATAGGTAAATAGTTTAGGCAATGACTTTGTCATGTAGAAATTTAGCAGGGAGTAATAGTCATAATGATTCAAATTACTATAAAAGTAAGACACAGAATTTGTGCAAACAGTATTTACACAAATTCTGGTCAAGTTGAAATCTCACATTGAAGTGTGTTTTTCAATACGTTATAAAAATAATAATAGAATTTATTCATCAATCAAAGATTAGCTTCATACGTACACACGTATATAAAACTCATCAAACTATTCAAAAAAGAAAGCAATCTACAAATGAATTGTTAAAATAGTGTGTAGATTGTATAGTCCCAGAACAAACCAAAAAAATTATACATACAACAGCAATGCAATGTGAATTTCCACAGACTGATAACTTTGCTTAGGGTTGTCGAAGTCTTTCTTAATATACATATGAGTGTCCCCACTCTTCATTTTGGCTTCTTTTAATGTACATAATCAGCTCAAAAATATACAAAACATGGAAAAGAGATTCTTGAATGAAAGTCTACATGTTGTAGTTGGATAAGCATGACACATTGTTCTCATTATCCTTTTTAGAGATACAAATGCTTTCTCAAAGTGACAAGAGGACCCCCAAAAGATCACGCCATATTGCAGAGTAGACTGAACCATCCCAAAATATAATAGTTTCATAATGTCTGCTGATACAGTATCTTGCAGATTTTTTACTATACAGCATGTTGTGCTCAGTTTTGAACATTCACTGTGCATGTGTGTTTCCCATGTTAGCTTACTATCCATAGTAACATCTAGGTTAGATTAGATTGTCAGGGAGCTAGTCCATGGCCTGATTCACTGCGACCTTTGCAGATCTATTGTGATGCTCCTTGGATTAGATTGTCAGGGAGCTAGTCTATGACCTGATTCACTGCGACCTTTGCAGATCTATTGTTGTGCCCCTTGGTTGTTAGATATCATTGTCTGGCTTCATCTCTTTGATGAGGCTCCATAGCGTTGACACTGACCCCTTCATATAGCTGGTAGCCTCTGGTTTCCCTTCCCTGCATCTCGCGTGTCTCAGCCTTGCTATTACTTCGCATTCTCAAAGCAAATGCAATGCGGTTTCCGCATTGGGTTTCTTCTGTCAGACCCATGTTGCTCATATGTTTCCTGAGCCAACGCTGCCCCGTTAATAGACCCACCACTACCCTCACAACCTTACGGTTGTGGTTTAACAGGTCTTCCGTGAATCTGGGCGATATTTTATTCATGTACTCTTTCGCCTGCCTCATTCCTGGAAGCTCATTCCACCAATCTATCGATTCGACTTGCATCCATGAATTTATGAATGTCTTTATACATGATTTCGCTAGCCTACAGAAAGGTTCTGGGCTGATCATAGCCTTGGATGCGCCTTCACGGGCTAGAACATTGGCCTCCTCATTGCCCTTGTGATCCTCATGTCCGCATACCCAGGCTAGAGTGACCCTATTTTGGGTACTTAGCTCCTTGAGTGAGCTGAGCACCTTAATTGCCGCCTGGCTGTCGTGGAAAATGGCAATGGTTTTATTTGCGACCTTCTGCCTGTTTATTTCTTCTATACAGTGTTTGAAGGCCGCTATTTCTGCCTGGAACACAGTTGCATCATGTCTGAGGTTGAGTGTGATTCTCATCTTTGCTCTGCCTCCTTATATACCGGCTCCCACTTCTTCTTGGGTCTTTGAGCCATCTGTTTACCAAGTTTCTTCCGCACATCAAAATAGAAAATAATACAATTGAATTAGTTCAAGAGTTTAAATATTTAGGATTTATGCTTGACAACCACTTAACGTTGAATGGTCATTTCAATTATATTCAGAAAAAAATACTCAAAAAACTATATTTTTTTTCGAGGGTATCTCAGCATTTGAGTATGAGCTCAAGAATTACCGTATACAATACAATTATCAAACCTCACTTCGAATATTGCCCGACCTTTTGTATGGTTTTGACTTCAATAAAATGAGATCACTACAAAAACTTCAAAATCGTGCAATGAGAATCACTTTGAGATGTAACAGATATACACCAATATCATTGATGTTGGGAACATTACAATGGCTGTCAATAGAAAATAGATTTATTTATTTAACTATGAGTTATATCTTCAAAATGTTGCATCTTCTTCCATCATATTTTCACAAATATATAACTATCAATACGCAAGTTCACCAGCATGATACGAGAAGTAAACATAACTTACATGTGACTAGGCAAACAAAAGCTTACAATATTAAAACCTTGGTGTTCAAGGGATTCATTGCTTACAACAGGTTGCCAGATGATATAAAGAAATCAGAAACTCTGCAACAGTTTAAAATAAAAATGATAAACCATTTACAGCAAAAGTAAAATCGTTGTATTGTATATCTATCAGGATTAAAAATTTTTAGTATCAATACGAGTATTAATATATGTATCTTCTTACGGGATATGAGTGTATAGTGGGTAGTGGGATAGCATAACTTATTGGTTTCTTATGTATGTTTGTATATGATTATTGTGGTATTTGGCTGTAGGTGAATGGTATCAATATATGTATTTTCTTTCGGGCTATAAGTGTATATTGGGATAGCAATCTTATTGGTTCATATGTAGAATTGTATATGATTATTATGGTATTTGGCTGTACTTGAATGGTTTTCTTTTAGCAAAACAATGGAAAATATAACTCGAAATGTAAATACCTAGTGTGTACGTTTAAATTTAAAACAAAACAAATATATTAATACTATCGAAGGAGCTGCTAATTACTATATATAAGATTATACTTTGTGAATGTAGATTAGGATTACCTATTTCGATAAAAAGATTATTATTATTATTTTACCAGTGGGCGGTTTTACCAGTCCTCTTGTTATGATGATTTTGAAATCTTTTTGAAAGTTGTACTGTGAAACTGTGTTATCCACGGGCATTCCTAGTATTGGATCTACCTTCAGTTCATTGTACAGTTTCAAGTATTCTGCCCCCTGTGACTGGCTGATTGGGGTTTGCCCCTGCATTAGCCTGTGTGTCACCAATCGAGCTTCTCTTTGTATGTAGTTGTGCAATGGTGGAAGTTCGAGTAGGACCCCAAATGCTTCAGTTGGGGTCGTTCTCATGGCTCCCGTGACACTTACGACACCCAGCCTTTGTACGCCGCCTAATAGCCTAGCCGTACCCAACTGCCTAATTTTTGCCCAACAAGTCACTACACCATATGTTACCATGGGTGTCACTACCCTTGTATATAACTGGGTTCAACCCCCAGTTTTTCACGCACATTCTTCTGCAGATTTCTAGGGCCATCCTGGCCTTATGTGCTGTTTTTTAGATGTGGAGGTTCCACGTGAGCCTGTGATCGAAAGTAACACCTAAGAACTTAATGGATTTTCATCAAGTATCAGTCAGTTCTATCCTATTTTTATACGGTTAACATAAAGCAAAAAATTCCTATTTTTTCATTCAGAATGTGCCTTCCATAATTGATTTCCTTAGTAGTTTGTATAGTGTTTGATTGACAATGAAAAAGTACTATTTACATGTTGATGAACAAGAAATGAAATGTTTGAAAAATTATCTTTTTGTTTAAATCAATTTTTCGAAATTTGGCAACATAAGTTTATTTTCTTGACTTCAACCTTGAATGATTTTGCTAAAACATAAATCGCTAGAGAAGTGATCATATCATTATTTTTTGAATTCTGTACATTTGAAGTGCAAGAATAAAGATCAGCAGCAAGCGAGTTTATATTACTAGAAATGAGTTCCTAAAATAGTTGATTTTTTTATGTTTTTGTCTTTCAGGTAGCTGTGTTTTCAAAAGTGCATTAGAGCTCCAAAATAAGTCATTTTAATTGAAATGTTTTGCACAAGCTGTTAAAATGAATAGTCACCTAATAAGTGAACACTTGAATAGATAGGCTGCTGGAATACTTACCTGTCCATAATATATCAATTTCTGGAGACAATTTAGATCCTAAAGTATTCAAATACTCTGAGTTTGTTACATTAGGTACAGCCCTAGTAGAACAATACTGAGTAGGGCATAATAAAAATTTTGGGTGACCCAAATGTTGATAACATTCATTAGTTACTGAGACTTGTGCCTGAGCGAAAGACTGAAAAATCTCCTTATCTGCCTCGGACATTTCCGATTCAATATCATCGAATAACAAGGCGAAAGCATTACAGCCAAACTGAGACACTTGTTCAAGTTTTCTTTTCAAGGCTCCTACTTCTTTTGAACTACTATATGTTATATCTAAACCTGGAGACAAGGCATAGTAAAACGTAATATTTTGGTCTTTGGCAGCCTGGATTAGGCCAGTGAGATGTTCAGCTTCCTCCACTGTGTATAACTCCCTCCAGTAAGCTCTATGTTTATAATCATCTTTTGGCGCATATACATAGGAATCCATACCCCATTTTTTCATTCTAAAATATATTATTTTTGGTCATAAATTAGGTCAGATCACTTACATACTAACTTTTGAAACAAATCTTTTCGCTGTTCTGTAGTCCATGGTCTTCCATAGAATCCTGAAAAAGGTCGTTTTTATTCCCCTTCTACTTCAACAATTGAAAGATAAAGATAAAACTTTATTTATTGAATTAAAAAATTGTGTTTTATTAACTTCACCTTCAACAACACCACATATGAAATTTCCGTTTTTAATATTGATGTTCTCTAAAACTGGTAAATCAGATATTGCTGCCATTATTCATATAAATTTAGCAGTTGTAAAATTTCTTCAAAATATCCAACAAAAATAAAAGTACTTTGTTTATTTGGTTCTACTCTTGAAAAAGTCACATCACATTCACAAACTTGAAATTTTGACTTTTGACGGTTTTGACATCTTAAGATCCTCATCCAGCATCCATCTGTCGGCAGATTCAGAAGAACAGGTTCTAGAATTCAACTTTTTATGGTGAATTCATGTCAAATGGTTCAAGATATCCACGTAAGATGTCTATAGAAGGATTAGGACCACCATTGTATATATACTATATACAAAGGGACCACAAACCACTTTATAAACTTTTGAAGATTTATTCTAGATTTAATAAAAATGAACAGTTCAATAGTATATATGATCCGGAGTTTCTTCTTCCAATTCTACAGGATTCGGCATGATGAGATGTTGATATACAGGTATCTGGAAAGTGTCAAATGAGTATCAATCTGCATACAAAAAAATACTTTTCTACATATGGACAAGATGTGTCGAATTCGATTTCCTTGGGTTTCGTAGTTCTTTCTGGAATTGCATAATGATTTCCAAGGACTGGCGTTTGTAAGGGTTTTCCATAGATTTTGCTTTGGTCAATGTGAATCAGATCTTTTTCTGCTTGTTTCTGTAGTTGTTTGATGGTCAGTCTCTTAGGGAATGTTCCACCACAGAGAACCTTCAAAGAATACTTGAATTATTTAATGAATTCAATCAATTAATTGTCTTGATGATGAATTTAATGCAGAGTGCAACAGACTGTTGGTTTTGGCACTGGAAGACACAGCATTCTGGAAATTACCTCTGACTTTATGCCTCCAACTGTCAACTACAAACTGCCTTATAAAGTACTGTTCCTGAGTAGAGAGGACTGGATCCTCCAGGAGAAGGAAATATTAAGAGCAGATGGTTGTTGGTTTACAGATGGATCAATAACACCTTCCGGTTCTGATGCAGGTGTTTTCAGTCGCAGACCCAAGACAGAGATATCAACTTTCCTAGGAACCTATGCGACTGTATTCCAAGGGGAAATTTACGCTATTGAAGTGTGTGCGGAGAGTTCGGAAGAATCCAACCTCATACACAAATCAATAAAAGTATTCTCGGACAGTCAAGTGGTGTTGGAAGCTCTTGGATCCTACCAAACAACGACTAAATTGGTAGCAAATTGCCAAAAACGACTCTCCTCCAATGGAAGACCTAACAGATTGTCTCTGGTCTGAATTTCTGGCCACTGTCAGTGGCATTGCTTTAGGCGTTGCCAAACAAAGATTGAACGGCTGAATGACGAAAAGATTTATGTACTTCTGGCAGAATCTTCCAGGATTGGCTCACTTCAAAGCGTTCATTCACCCTTCGAAGCTTGATACCAAACAGTTGTTGGAC